TATATTGAAATTGAATTTTTTTTTATTAAGGCTTTGTTTATTTCACAAAAAATGAATGATTTGGACGATGTTTTCCAAAAAATAATCGCTTGTATCGCTTAAAATAATTAGTCGATAAAAATTATTTTCATTATTAGCAACAATTTATGTCTAAACACTTTTGTGGACGATGAAAATATCTTTTGTTCATTTATTTTTGCAGGCGATACAATCAATCACTTTTAAGAAATTTTTTTTCAAATCAACCATTTTTCGCGAAACAAACAGAGCCTTAGGGCGAGTTTATTTTTCGAAAATTGAATAATATGGAAAATATTTTTCTAAAATGATCGCTTGTATCGTTTATAAAAATGAATTAATGAAAAATATTTTCATCATCAATAAAAATATTTAGACATAAATTGTTATCGACAATAAAAATATTTTTTCATCGATTAATTATTTCAAATAATACAAGTGATCATTTTTATTTCAAATTTTCTATTTTTTGCGTAACAAATAGAGTGTAGATATATAGTTAATAATTGTCTCGGTCGGTGGCACTCGCCAACAAAATATCTCTTGCTTGTTTTTTGGGGGGGCTTTTCCTTTGATCATCGACTCTTTTTCTCTCCCACATTTTCTGTACTCTCTCCCCCACCCCCCCTCTATGCATCGGATTTTGAGAATATTTGCAGCACAGTGATCCCATTAAATGACTCTATCTCTCTCCTCTTTCCTCTCCCTGTGAAGAGAAGAGAAGGGAAGAGAAAGAGAGAGTGAACTTTGGGGGGTCGTGGCCAGGGGACTTTAATTATTCTCACCCACCCCCACCTTCTGTAGCCAGCACGTTCCCTTCGCTTTGTCTCTTTAGGTCGTCGTCTGTTCGACCAGCGAGAAAAGAAAACGCAGAAAGAAATGGCCCCAAGAAAATCGAGCCGAGAAAGAACAAATCGAGCTCTGTTTGCTGTTTTGGAAGTTTTCTCTCCGAAGTCCAACCAAGCTGTCGTGTCTCCTCTCCAGCACTGTTTCCCAGCTGAAGAAACTCTCTCTCTCTCTCTCTCTCGTCTGCATGCATGGCCCCGGAAGGAATATGTTAGCATCCGACGATGCTTCATGCTTTGTTCCCCTCGCTTTTTGCATGGCTCTTTTCGGGGAATACAGCAGCAGCTCCTCCCCCCAACGATGCATTATTAAAAATCATGTCAGCTGCCCCAAAACAATAGAATAAAGAGAAAGAGTGAGTGAATGAGGTCAGATTGGACCTTTCTTTTGGCCGTCAATGAGATGATGGAGGCCTCCTTTCTTCCTCCCACACCCTCCACATCTTTGAGCTCCAATCATGAGATTTATAAAAAGATGTTGTGAACGAGGGCACCCGACATATTCTTTCAGTAGTTTTTGCTTGAAATAATTCAATTTTCAGGATACTAATGGTGCATAACACAATAGCGATTGATGCATTAAGAATTGTCAAATTTTTTCAATTGGCTGGTTAACAAGTATCTCCGAGATGCTTGTTAATAAAATCTCGTATACAATAGAAATGATGGATAGATATCACAAAGAAAATAGCATAGGATTCTTCAATACAATTAAGGTAAAATCCAAGAAAATATCGTGTTATATGATGACTTTGATAAGATATAACCAATACAATTTGAATTTGAGTTCACTGTTTGATTTTTATCATTCTTATATTTTCTTGTGATCTCTAAACCAAATCTATATTTTTTTTATTAATACTATTTTAACCTCTATTAGAGACTAGAAAAGAGATCATACACCCCTTGTTTGGGAAAAAAAAGCAAGAAATAAACAAAATTTTCGATTACATTTGGAGAAGATAATCTGAAGATCTTACTCTTTTTTTTTTTGGTAAGAGATAACATCTTTTATTGGACTTAAGAGCTGTCATGGGTCTCTTATCTTACCAATCTACATCTTTGCCCAATATAAACAATATCTAATTTAATCCATCTTTGATGGAATTTTGAAAAAAGCTTGAGGTTGAAACTAGAATGGATTTGCTAAATATACTAGCAAAAGAGCACCCGCTTCCCGTGTGACTACAAAACAATTAAATGAAAAAATAAAATTTTTAAACAAAAATATCATGATATCAACTTACCAAAGGTATGGTGTAAGCCCAAAAAGAAAAATTACCAAAGGTATGAACAGTTTCAATTTAAGTTTGGAAAGTTTTAGAGATATAAGGTATCGCGATATCAAAAGCGTTAGAGATTCAATTTACTTTTGAGTTACGATTTTGTTTGTCATTTGATATTATACCGTGATCAATCATTGATTGTAGGTTATTAAACAAAATTTATGAGGAAAATTTTGAGGTTGAATCATCTTTAAAATTTGTATTATTATATTTTTTTTGGGAGCAATCTATTAAGCATGGGACTTTACTCACCTCACCATCAACTATGTTCAGCAACCAACTATTTCCGCTACCAACAAGCAACTAACTTGTCCGGACAATGAACTAGCTGGGTAATTATGAATTCTTTAGTTTTTTTTTTCAGACTTATCATTTTTATTTAATTTAAAACCCCAATTTAGAAACTTTAAAAACTATAATTTTTGATCTAGCTAAAATATATTTTTATCGACGTCAAGCAGGTACAATTACGGGTTTTTATCTTGCTATGCTGATGGTGGAAACATGTCCTATAATTTTGTGGTGAAGTGATCATTTTTAGGAAATTGTTTTTCAAATTATTCATTTTATGCGAAATAAACGGTGCTTAAATCTAAATGAGGTAGCTTTAGTAAACTGTTATCAACTACTAAAACAGTAAGGAGTATGTCAAGCATGGACTCTTTTCTATTGCTGTAGTTGTTATTACAAAAGAAAAACAAAGTCCAATGGAATGTCTAAATACATAGGAGATGATTAAGTGATAGTACATCCACTTTTTTTGCAAGTTAATACAAAAATGTATATGGTATTTTAGGGGCAATATTTCATTTTTGTACTTTTAGTTCTGTGTTCAAGGACTACATTGAACATTTTCATATAATTCGGGGACTACATTGAACATATACCAAAAGTCCATGGACCACATTGAACAAATTGAAAGTTCAGGGACCATATTGAACATTAGGTTAAAGTTCAGGAACTATATTGAATAAATTAAAAGTTCATAGACCACATTGCACATTGGGGCAAAGTTCAAGGACTGTCCGTGTCATTATCCCTTCAAAAGCAAGTCGTTCACATCGAAACATAAAGACTTAACCGACACAATTTATCTGTTATTTCCTAGTCTTTTGAAAAAATTGCATTCCCACCCCTCTCAAATAAAATAAACCTAGATTTTGTCCCATGAAAATATGTTTGTCATATATCCTCTTTCAAGAATAGAACATTCCGGATCTGTGACAATTACCTTATAATTTTTGGTAATTAACTGAAAGTATGCTTTTAACAAAAAAAAACGCAATATGGGAAGTGCTAAGCACTAATACCTATAAGTTACGTAGGTATATATTGATTTTTACCTCGTTATTTTGTAGGACTGGACCACCCCACTAGATCATTTAAATAACAAATTTGATCCTAATAGAATTTTTTTTTGACATGTCCCTAATAGAACTTAAAAAGCGCAAATTAAGACAAAAAAGAGAGTATAAACCACTTTACTATTTGTATGCTTAAATAGAAAGACAAGTAATAATTGAAAGAGAAAAAGTCCCAAAAAATCCCTAAACTATGCTAGCTAGGACACATTTACCCTGAACTTTTTTTGTTATATCAAAATCCCAAACTATGCTCATTGTAATGGATGTATCCTAAATTTTCTCTTGTCACTAAACTTGTATCTATGTAACATATTTACCCTCCCGTCAACGTTCTGTTAGATGATTTTTCAGCCAAAACAATGTCGTTGTTATTTCACTTAAGCCACGTGGGTGCCATGTCAATATTGTTTGCTTTTTGGCATCCATGTATGTAGATTTTTATAGTGGAGGGCAAATGCGTTACACAAGTACAAGTTTCGGATTTTAGTGTAAAAAAAAAAGTTTAAAGTAAATGTGTCACAGCGGACATAGTTTAGGATTTTTGGCTGCTTTTTCCCTAATTGAAAATGGAACTTCTTAATCCCTAGATTTGTTTATTTTTTTGTCTGATTATGCTATTTAAGCTTCATTTACGTTGAACTTGGGTCAAAAGCCTTGCCGATGATCTAAACTTCTATATTTTTGTTATTTTTGCATTTGTTTTTACGCTTATTTGCTCAAGGGGGTCACAACATACTCGCATTGCGCATAAATTTGAGTTTTCTAACAACTGCTCCATTCGATCAAATGAAGTTAAAAGAGGTAAAAATAACAACAACATGAACTATTCTTGAAACCCTAAACGTGGTAATAATGTTAATGAAGATCCTCGTTTCTTGTGAATATGATCTTCGGAAATCACCATTTGGTTTTTTTCTTAATTTAATTTACTTTTCACTACGAGAAAGCATTTGTTAATTTTTTTTATTATTTCTTGGTCATACTCTCGATTAAAATTTTTATGAGAAATGTACCCGAAGAAAAAGTGAAAAAGCGATATATGTAGTAAGTCCATCTCATTCTTATTCTTATCGACAAGTTCTTCTTCTTAGTCTAATGAATTTATAATTAACTAGTTTTTATACCTCGTAATCTTGCAACCTCGGGCGTAAGTGTTTTGATTAGGAGACTGTTAAATTAATTTAGGGTTTTGATGCTATTGATTTTGGATGTACAACTGATCATTACTCTAATATCGCACGAGATTTAGAAAAAAAATTATGAAAATTTCGCATCGAATAAACGGAGACTAGTCTCCCACATGCTTGTGCTAAGGAAGAAATCCCGGGAAGCATTGAAAAATATTATCATAAGTATTCATGAATTCCTATCATTAGTCAACCGGTTCCCAACAAAAGCGTACGGCACCCCCAGCTTATATTAAAAGAAAATTCAATACCTTCAAAATGCCACGTGGCTCGATTAGGCTATAGTCGGTCCAAATAAAATAAAGTAAGAAGAACATTAAGATGTAACAAGAAGTTCTCCCAAAGTAATAAGGATGCCAAAATTACATAATTCTTTGAAACCCTAGATATATTGACTGAGGTGTCAACAGCATCAATAGCAAGGTCAACGAGAGAGAGAGAGAGAGAGAGAGAGAGAGAGAGAGAGAGAGAGAGAGAGGGGTGGAGAGAGAGGGCGGGAGAGCTGGAGAGATCTTTATGCAAATCTCGCACACAAAACCTTGCTGACAGTAAGCAAAATTAGGTATGTTTTTCTTTTAACCTATTGCCGATGATTAATCGAAAACCATCAACAGATTTCTTGAGGAAGGGAGGAGAATAATTTAGCTCCATACTCTAAGAGGGGTCGATGTTCCGGCGATCGTCTCCGGTGGCAGCCCTGGGCTGGTGGAACTGGCCCAATTGTCCGATGCTCGCGGAGACGTTCATGGCGAGGAGGCCTGCGTCGTAGTTGGCACCCGCGTCGAAGCCCCGGATCATCTGGTGCTGGTGGTCGCGGGGGAAGAACTGGTGGTGGTAATGGTGGTGATCCCGTGAACCAGCGGAGCCAAGGAGGTTGATGCCGAGGTTCTGGGGGTGGTTGTGGGTGGTGGCCGCGGCGGCGGCGGCGGCGATGAGGCCATGGCCGGCGGCAAGGCCGAGGCTCTGGTACTTGGAGAGCTCGGACTTGGCGCAGGTGAGGTCCATCTGGAGCTGGCGGAGCTGGTGCTGGAGGAGGGAGATGACCCCGACGCAGCCGTAGACTGGATCCCGCAGGCGCATGTCGGCCTCGTAGGCGAGCGAGTTGACCGCGTCCTCGCGCTGGTGGGGGTGGAGATCGTTGAGCAGCTTTGTCACGTTGCTCGCCCCGAACACCTTGTGGACGTTGGCGAACTTCTGCGGCTGGTCCGGCGGGAAGTAGGGCGCGAACACGCACTCCGGCTGGCACTTGCGGCGGAGGAACTTGCACGCGGCACACGGGGACGTGGACGACGACGCCATCCTAATTCGTTCCCGAAATCCCCCCAGTAAATGCTGAAAGCGAAATAGAAACCAAAGAAAATTAGTGTATCTGCTCATTGATCTTCTTCGTCTTGTTCCTCTTCTTTTTCACTTTAAGAAACACAAATTAAAATATAATTTTACACATACAGAAGTTCATCCATCCAATTACCTTGAACGATGGCTGTATGCGAACTAGCGAAGCTCCGGATCCTGTGTTTATCGTCTTGTGAACATAAGATTCAATTGTAAGAAATGGAGAGCAAAGAAGTAAAATCAACTATAAGCGAGGAATTATGTGGGAAAAAAGAGAGAAGTGCTGTAATACAAGAGAAATGGATAGGATTATGGTGTTACAAAGAGATCAGAGCACCAGTCTATGAAGGACCTATGAATGAATTAGGTTTTTGCTGCATTAAAACAACAAATAAGAGGAATTATTCATGCAAGAAGAAGGAAAATCTTTCTTCTTCTTTTTTTTTTATAAACTTTCGAAGAGTATAAATATACGAAGTGATACTATCCCGGCAGAATAGTCTCTTTGTATTTCGACCGAAAAAGAGAAGAAAGAAAGAAAGAAATGACCTAGCAGGATCTGCTGAATGATTACATGGATTTCATTTCTGATTCTCTTACAAAAATGCAATTTTTAAGGAATCAATCAAAATGAGAAAAGGGATCTCCTCGCTTTCCTCGAGCTCGGCAGATCTAGCGAGCTGCAAAAGGAAAGCTTCGCCTGCCCACCTCAACATATTCGCGAGAAGATAAAAATGTCAGCAGCTCAAGAAGAAAGATCAGTCTTGGCTTTATGGAAATGGTGATGATGCAAACACCCATCTCTTTCTATGCCCCTTTTCGAAACGTGTCAGTAATAAAGAGAAAAATGAAACGAGAATGAAAAAAAAGGGAGGAGTACCTGGGCAAAGAGATTTCGATCGTAAAAGCTGCTGAAAAGAGAAGGGTAAGAGCCAAGAACAAGAAGTAGGAAGAGAAGAAAAATAATGATATGTTATTTGGGGTTTGGACTTTTGATGGGGGGAGGTGGGGGGGTTTGAAAATTGGATCTTGTGAAGCAAGGAACTTTTTGCAATTTCGCTTCTTTCGAGAGAGAGAGAGAGAGAGAGAGAGAGAGAGAGAGAGAGTTTTCGTAGCAGATCTTGCTCGAGCTCTTATTAAAATGACTTGAGCACACTGTCTTCTCCAAAAGACGAGCCTTCTGGGAGTTGAACACACACCCAGTTAAAGAGTGGGATCGATGAAAGGAACGCACAAAGCAAGACCATCATTCAAAAGCGTCGCTACATGCAGAACAAATAGATAAATAAGCAAGAAAAAGAGGCAAAGGAAATGATTTGTGAAAAGGGATTGATGGAGAAACCAGCTTGATGTGATTTGGACTGTGGGGCTTCCGTTTTTTCTCGGGATGGAGAATCATCGATCTGTAATAATTCAATTATTTCTCATTTGGCTTGGGGATCTTAACTAGTCAACACCAACACACACCAACACACGTAGTCTCTCCCCTTTTCTTTTATCTTTTTCCAGAAAAAATAAGGGAGAAAATGGTGCACGAGGAAGGAAGAGACCTAGAAGAGAAGACTACAGCAGTAGAAAAAGTGTATCCATGGCATGTGGCCTTGGCTCAACAGTCAAACCTTTTTATTTCTCCAACTTTTCGTTTCTTTGCCTCCTTTCTCTCCCTAGATCACGTTGACTCGTGCGGATGGTTGGATCTCCCCGAGGCCTTGAAGCTTTTTCACACCCCTCCCTCCCTCTCTCTCCCTCCCTCTCTCCCTATCTCTCTGTTGCTGGGCTTCTTTTCTTCTCTTTTTCAGCTACTCGCTTGCGGTTGAATCAGAATTTCTCGAGTTCAACCCTTTTCTTCGTCTTGGGTCACTTTCTTTAGTCCACCTTTTTTTGGCCCCTTCGAAATCTTCTGGTGTGGGGATATACTTTCAGGGTTCATGCAAAATTGGCTTCTTCTCGGCACTGTCGCTGTTGCTGTTGCTGTTGCTGCTTCTGCTTGTTCGGAAGAAAACAAATTGTTAAGAGAATGAGGGACATAAAGATCATGAAGAGAGAGAGAGAGAGAGAGAAGATGCCCAGGAAAGGAGGCTAAGGAGACGGGGATAAAGCAAAGAAAGGGAGTGTTTCTGATGAGGGTCTGAAAGTGAAGGAGGAGATTGGGGGGGGTCAATTTAAAATAGGGTTTTCTCTCTTTTTTTTGGGTTCTTTTGTCGGTTCTTTTTTTCAGGGTGCTGGGGTTATTAAGAAGGGGTGATGTTCTTGTTAGTTGTTGTCGATGTTGTTAGCGGCGAGACATGTGGATTCTATGTTTTGTGTCGTGACACGATAGCCATTGATGTGAATCATAGTTTGAAGTAGCATCTTCTTGCTCCTCTCTCTATCATGAGAGAAACCCTTTTTTAATCTTTCAGGTTGGGCATCTGGTACCCTACTATATGGGGCTATTCCATCTATCTTAATGTCAATTAAGGGATTTCATGATTGCTGCTTTCAGATCGCTAGTTAGCCACAAAATGAAAAGTGAAAGAGAAGGAAGAAAATCACGAGAGAAGAGTTGACAGCCCACCACATCAGTTCCGATGGGTTTGACCAGTTGGTTAGGCATTTAAAGTCGCTAGGGGGAGATACCCAGAGGCACATCTAATTCCATGACAGGCCTGGCCACATCTTGTGTTTTTGGTTGAGGTTTGGCTTGTGATAGTGTAACCCAATGACAAATTCTGTCTAAACACATCATTCCACGAATTGTCTTATAAAACATGGTATTCAAAAAGCATATGCACAGCGATCCATTGGTTCTGTCTAAGTCAATAGTTAGAGTGAAACATCTTTTGTTGGACTTCTGGGGTAAGTACTAAGTATAAAACTTCGGTAGTCATTGCTCATGGGTGTCACAGGTTCTGGTTGGTTTTTTGTTCTTGTTTCTATTATAGTGTAGGTAGAAGATACAGATGCTGTGCAGTTACCAATTGCTTTGTTCCATGAGCAATGACTACCGAAAACCGACCAGAACTAATTTACTTATGCGCATCGTGTTTACCGTTCATTATACGGAAATAGTATTTACTAACAAGCTGGTGGCCCGACCCAAATTCACCCAAAATAACATACCTTTGAACTTATTGCTGGATTTGCTCGATCTTTGAGAGTGAGCTCCGACTTTCAAGCAGAAAGTTTGCTTGGAAACCCTAAGACTCAAGTTCATGATGTAAGAAAGTTTGCTTCTAGAGTCCGATAGTTCTAATATGATAAGTGTCGGTAGGGCTCGGATCAACCACCTTGCGATGCGAGTGCACTTATAAAAGGATGCAAGGAATTGCTTATCAAGTTTTCATACCTCCAAATAACCAATTGCCCAAGAGAGTCCAATAGAGTAGTGGATTGGATTGTAAAAGTCCAAAGATGAAAAGGCCTTGAAAAGTGCCACAAAAGTCCTAAACCTATTGTATCTATGCCAATTTAATCCTAAACCTTTTAATGGTGTCAATTTAATCTTAAACCTTTTGATCTAAAGCCAATTCAGTCTTTTCAGCTAATTTTGGCCCGATAGTGCTAATGTGGACGTCGGTTGGCCTACATGACACGGCAGACGCTGATGTAGATAATTTTTTATAATATTTTTTTTGAATTTATTTATCTTTATATTTCCTTTTTTTTCTTCCCTTCCTTCTTCCTCTAGCCGATCGCCAGACCTCAGCGACTGGCTAGAGGTGAGGCTGTGCCTCGCCCAGCCGCTGGCAAGGTTGGCCTCGTGCTGGGCTGGCGAGGTTGGGCCTCGTCCTTGGCCGACATGGCTCGACCCTCGCCAACCCATCACGAGGCCATCCTCACCTCTTGCTAGTTGTTGAGGTCCAGTGACCGGTTGGAGGAAGAAGGAAGAGAAGGAAAAAAAAAAAAAGAAAGAGAAAGAGAAGAAAAAAATTAAAAAAATATTTAAATATTATAAAAAGTTGTTCACGACTATCCAGCGTACACGTCAGTAATATCCGGTCAAAATTAGTGAAAAGGACTAAATTGGATCTAGGTCAAAATGTTGAGGACTAAATTGACACAAATACAATAAATTTAAGATTTTCCAAACACTTTTCCCCCCATAATTGGTTCTCCTAACGCCCTCAAGCCCTATGAAAGTTACTGTGTTCTCGAGCTTTGTTATTGTCTGCCGAAGTTATTCCTTAATGAACTACAATGATGTTTTACTTACAAGAAAGACAAAAAGGGGGTGAGCACGGCACGATTTTTATTCGATCAGTCTGGTCTTCAAATTGAAAGAAACAACATGAGTACCACTTGAAGAAAAATGAAGCAAAACTGTAGCTTGAAACCAAAATGAATGAAAACCATTTCTCATAATCCAGTTCGGTTAAGCATATTATCATTGAATTGGGCTCAAAGGTTGCAGTTTAACATGCTAATGAGAAGAAGGGATGGTGCCCACATCCACAACTCTTTGCTTAAGGAGATTCACAATTTTGGCAAGGATGATTGTCCAAAAGATCTTATACCTATTGTACGGCGGCCAATTCAGTCATAAACTTTTCAATTTAGCTAATTTAGTCCTAAATTTTTTGACGATTTACCAATGTTGTCCTTCTTGTCAATTGGCCGATTGTAGTCCTTTCGGCCAAAGACTACATTGGCAAATCGTCAAAAGGTTTAGGACTAAATTGCGCAAATTGAAAAGTTTAGGATTGAATTGGCAGTTGTATAATAAGTTTATGACTTTTTAGACAATTTTTCCCAATTTGGTACACTCCAAGTAAATAGTCAAGCTTCAACACGTGCTTAGGGAAGGTAACAAGCTAGCGGATTGGTCTGTGAACTACGGATTTCAGGCAAAGAAGGGTTTATGATTTCATGTCTGTGCCTCTACAGGGGCTTTCTTTGTTTCTTTCAGAGGACTACAGCTAGTGCAGTTAATCTTAGATTGTAAACTTTGTTAATGTCTAGTATCTAACAAAAAAAAGAAGAAAGAATGAAAGAAAGTCACAACTATATTCCATTAGCATTGCGAGTCTGAAGTCTTAACAAAAGAGTTGTGCAATTTGTGAAATTTTAACAAAAACTTCGAGTTGAATTTGTTTTGTATACAAGAGATTGCACCATGACATGCAATAATCTTATTGTCTTCTTGGCTTTGGACTAGGGCATTGTTTCTTTCCCATTTTTTTTTCTTTTTTTTGGGTGCTAAATAGGAAATATATTCATGAAAAATCCAATTTATATAGGCAAGACAAAGCCCCCGTACAAAGCCCAAGCCCAAACCCAAGACCAATCCCACTATCTTGGGCTTTGACAAGACATGGAGACCATCGACTAACCCTTCGCAGGCCAAACACAAACGGAGAAACTCTGCATTTTCAAGTGGAAACTGGAAAGCCGGGGGGAAGATGAGCACGGCGACAACGGCGGCGCCGCCGGCGACGGCGACGGAGACGGCGACGAGGGTATACGTCGGAGGGGTAGGAGAGAGCGTGGGGGAGGAGGATTTGCGCAAGATATTTGGGGCTCTAGGGACGATTGGCGCCGTGGAGATCGTCAGGACCAAAGGGCGCGGCTTTGCCTACTTCGATTTCGTGCCGGCGACCCAGAACTCCCTCAACAAGCTCTTCAGCAAGGTCACCTCTCTTCGTCGTGCATACCCTTTTCCTGACTGATGATTCTCCTTCTGATGTCACCCTTGTCTGAATTTCATACTGTATTGAAAGCATTGGATTTTGCATGAAGTTGAAGGCCGGTGGTACACATGTTATTATTCATGTGCTTTGATTTTGGGGATGCAGAATGATGGGATTCAATAGTGGGTTATGCTCACAACAAGGTCTGATCTTGGCTTGTGATGCTAGTGGTACTTGGGAGTTTGTCTGACCCAATTTAATGTGTAGTATCTTGTGTCAAGATCCTCTAAAATGAGGTGAGAGGATGTTGTTAGCATGTGTTGATGAGTGGAAATATAGACAACAACCTCTTGAGTTGAAGATATGGAAGAATTGTTGGGTAAGGAGGAATGTTGCTCAAGGGAGAATCTACGAACACAGAGAAAAAGATGTAGGAGAAATTTGTTTATCCGCAGATACTGAGAGAAATTTTTAGCGTGAAGAGTGGGTGGGACCATGATAAGAGTCCTGCTGAAAGGAACTTTTGCCTTTTGCGGTGAAATTTGGGATTTACAAGGCCATGCGTGACACTTTTCAGTCACTACCGGCTTCAGAGAAGAGCCTTTGGAAAGTGCTCTGTTTCGTAAAGCTATAACGATGCTTACAAATGTTGTTCTAGCAACAGCCATTTGAAGTGCTTTCTTTGGTTGTTCTCACTTGGTAGAAGCACGCTTAAGACCATCACCTTAATTAGTAAATATCCGGTTTTTCAATGATTACTTGTCCAAACTACTGTAGAGGCATAGCATCAAAAAGCGCTTTGGTCATAAGAAACAATTTTGCGCAACCCTTCATTAATGGCAATGGTGTTTTCTGTTCCTATTAACTCTACATGGTCATTTCTGATTACAATTTGGTTATGAGAAAATTAGATACAATTTATATTGTAATTAAGTTCCTATATCCTTTGCTAAATGTGTTCGTACAGCAGCTTCCTACTGTAGATATTCAACTAGCGTGTTATTTATTTATTTATTTTTTTTGAAGCAACCTCTCTCGTCTTCATAGAGATCCCATCAGAGTCACTTTCTGGAATTATCAATAAAATTGTTTTTCTATGAGAAGATTCAGCATTTCTCTCTGCTGTTCAGTTTCTCCTTTGCAGTTTTTTAGAGTCTAGCCAGACTTTCAATTTCAAGCGAAGTCTATAGGATTGATACAATTCACAGATAGATGTCTCAATTCACAAATTAACTCTTGATTATTTCATGTCAAAACTATTGTTTTAAACTACTATGGTTTGCATAATAACTAAGAATTTTATTGTTGTAGAGATCATAGGCTAATTTTCAAGTCAAGCTGAGTTATGGAGTACATATGTATAATTCCTCTTATTTTAACCGCTCCTCTGCTGAGAAGGAGATCTTCTATCAAGCTACTTCAATTTGCATTTACACCACATGATTAGACAGGTTTCAGATTTATTTTTTTGTCCTTTTCCTTCTATTGACCAGCAGTCCTCTCGTATATCAATGCTCACTGAAGTTAGGATTTCTCCAGTAAATGTTTTCTTGCCACTGTAATCACTCTGTCATAAGCCCATATGATATTACTAGCATCAAGCTCCCTTTGCATTTTCTTTGTGCATTGGGTTCAGATGGGTTGGGCAAGAGAACATATTTTTTCATCCCTCAAGAACCAGCCGGTCCACTAGAGCTGGTATATCTATTAAGGCTCCTATTTTCTTTATGTTCATTGATAGCAGAATACATTGAAGAATGAGAGACGGAAAGAATATGTGATTGTATGTGGAAAAGCAATTTATGTAACAATTTGTCCTGATCAAATGGTGCGTTTCTTTCCTGGATAAAAGGGCAACTGTCTTAAGAGCAAAGGTGGCCCTTTTTGTGCTTTGTCCATATGACGATGTCTTCGCTTTTAAATAGGTGTATAACGCTGCATTACTTTTTTGCTGGTTAGGTTTCAGTCTGAAAGGTACTAGTGCTGTCCTACTACAAATGTAGATACTAGAATGTTGATATCACATATTCTGCACCATCCAAGTTTCTTGCACTTTGTATTGTGTCCCTATTTACCTAGGTTATACAGGAGGCTCCTTTACCTGCAATAACATATCGCAGGAACAGTCCCAATTCAAAAGCATCCAATTTTTCTCCAGATTGTGTTTTTTCTGGAAATTAATTGAAGGCCAAATTCTTTCTCATAATTGTAACTGTTTCCTCATTAATCTTTTGTCCTAGGTGTGTTGCCTTATGTGGATGTATAGTATATCCATTCTATTGCTAAGAGAAAAAGGGAGCATAGGAAAACCTAGCACGTGCATATGCATTGCTTTTCATGTTGCTCTTGCATATGCCCATCCTCTCTTCTCATACGCAGGCTGTTTTGGATAGTTCTGCTTACTTTTTAGTGGGGATGATTGCTTATTCTACATGTTTTTGTGAATTGGAACTGCAGTATAATGGTTGTGTGTGGAAAGGGGGTAGGCTAAGGCTTGAGAAGGCAAAAGAACATTACCTTATTCGACTGAAACGAGAATGGGAAGAAGATGCTGAACAGAATATCGCACCTTCTGATGCTCTTGATGCAGAGAAAGACCCAGCAGCTCCAGTAAAGGCCAAAAAGTTTCTTGATAAAGAGAAGCATCTTCATATTTTCTTCCCTAGATTGAAGAAGGTGAGCTGTATAAAGTTTCCAGAGGCGCCTTGCTCTTACTCATTGATTACCCGAAGTTGTTCCTTTTCTATCTCCTTGTTCAGTATGTGAGGTTGGGTTTCACTAGATCAATTAACCATGGTGCATGCATCCTGACCGATGTGATTAGATTGTTCTAGTATCTAGCTGTCAACGTCTCATCCTTGAGTTGCTTCTCAGGTGAAATCTTTGCCATTGCAAGGAAGTGGCAAGCATAAGTACAGCTTTCAGAGGGTTGAGGTTCCTCCCTTCCCAAAGCATTTCTGTGATTGCGAAGAGCACTCTGATCTATCTCATTCCTTAAAAGTGGAAAAGACTCATGAACTTGACTCTCAAGGTGATGGTGGCATAAATGCTGAAGAGCTTGATATGATGAATTCGGTGATGAACAAGTTGTTTCAAAGAGAAGCAGATTCAATCCCCACACGCAGTGGGAATGAACTGATTGAGGATGAAAAAATTTCTTCAGCAGGGTTTCTGGAACCACAGCTGGAAGAGGACATGGTAGATCATGACGAAGATGACGATAACCTCATGATTAATATGGTAACAGGAGTGGGAGATGGAAAACCACAACTGGAAGAGGAGATGGTAGATGATGACGAAGATGATGATGACCTCGTGATTAATATGGTCACAGGAGTGGGAGATGGAATTACTGGGGGCCATATTGGCAATTTCTCAATGAATCAGGTAAGTTTGATGGGTCTTATGTTCACTGACTGAAACTGTTACAGCTTGTCTGCGTTAAAAGGCAGCATTTCTTATTTATTTTTTATTTGCAGGAAAAATCTCACAAAAGACAAACTTCTGGAGATGGACTGGCACGAAATAGGCTTCCTATTCAGAAAAGGGACAGCGCATTGCCAAATAAGGAAAATATGTCACTTTCTCATGGACATGGTGTGGGAAAGGAGTCATTTTCGTCTCCCAAAAAGCAACATGATAGTTTGCCTGTTGATTCTGAAGTATCACGAAAAAATCAGAAACTCCAACCTGTAGTTTCAGAATCAAGGACCCAAAATCTGAAGAAGCATCCCTTATGGTCCCAGAAGTCCTCATGGAAAGAACTTCTCGGGGAGAGAAATGAATTTGCCTTCTCTGTGTCACATGTATTGCCTGGCGGTGGCACTTTGGGGGATGAGCAACAGCTTTCTGATAACTCGAATGTGCTCAACAGTGTGGACCACAAAAATCAGCATGGCGATGGTCAGCATGAACATTCAGAAGACAAGATTACTGAATCAACGGAATTAGAAGATAAAACTGAAAGTGAGTCCGCAATACAAAATAAATCCTCAGCGAAGACAGGAAGGGGCAGTTCATGGCTCCACAAATCTTCATGGACACAATTGGTAACGGACAATAAAAGCAAGTCATTCAGTATATCGCTGATTAAGCCAGCTCTAAATTCTGAACATGAGCTTCCAGCTGATAATACTGCTGAGAGCAAGCAGCATGATGAATCTATACAAGATGGTTCAAATGGCTTGAGAGGTGGAATGGAGGAACCATCAAGTGCTGCTTTTGACTCGAGCATGGCTCCCCGAGTTATGGAGCAGAATCTTCCACAACCGGAAGGTTTGGAAGGGGCTTTGAATTTCAGTTCGCTTACTGATAAAGACAGCAATAAAGCTGCTGCTGCTTCATTGCCCAAGGAAAGACGCATTTCAGTTCCAAATCAGTCAGTCATTAGAGTGGATAAAGAATGCCCTTTTATGAGAAATGAAGCTTCTCTACGAGACTGGGCAATTAGCAAAGCAAATCTTGCTAAGTCGCTTAAAAGAAAAAGATAATCTGCAAATTTTGGTGCTTCAAGTAAGCTGCTCTACAGGGCTGATATGTATTGTATTGAGGCTGTCAGATTTCCTCAAACAGGTAAAGCTTAAGGCAGGATTAGATCAAGGATGAGTTCATTGTAGTGCTTTTAGTTGGGAATCCCTTGGTAATCCTTTTTTGACTTTGTGAGTACTCAATAGTTTCTCGACCTTTGATTAATCAGTAACAGACCTTATGTTGTTTTCTCCAATTTAAACGAGTAGGAGAGTTGTTGAAGAATCGAAGCATGGTATCAAATGGTTCTGGTATGAAAGAGTGATTGTTCCACTGTGGTGAACCTTAAGAAAATGGCTCTGATGAAATGTACTTTGTTCTGCATTTTTTCTCAAAGTAACTTTTACTTCTTTTGTAGGGAGAATTGATTTATTTTGCTCATTTGGCCATAACTTCCGTGTCCAGACCTGGTCCCAAGTTCGAAAGTCGAATTACTTCACAGTACATCCTGATGTATCTTGATGTGGACAGGTCGGATCCAAACCGAAGCTGGAATCCTTTGTATCCTTGGGGGCAAAAGTCTTCCCAAACATCTTCATTGGTTCGGTCTGAAACTGAACTTTTGCAAGCATTCACATAGGTAATGGTAATCAACGGCTGATTAGGCAAAGCATCATTAAAATGCAAAGGACAGACTGTGGGGAAAATTATTGATTTAAGCTCCGTTCGTTTGGCGGAAAATATTTTCCGGGTTTTCCGGTATTCGGGGGGCGGAAAACGTTTTCCGTGGGAAAATATTTTCCTTCTCCCCCTCACAAAATAGCCTAAGTCTATGGAAAATGACTTCTGCTTCTTCAAAAGCGGAAATCATTTTCCGGAGCTTCTTCTTCTTCACTAAGGTCGCTGGCCACCGCCGCCTCAGCCGCCGGCCGCCGCAGCCGCCGCCGCCGCCGCCGGCCCCGCCGCCGCCCGGCCGCCGCCGCCGCCCGGCCCGTCGCCGGCCGCCGGCGAAAAATATTTTCAAAACTTTTTCATATTGATCGCCGAACACCGGAAAATTATGTTCCGGGAAAATATTTTCCAAAAGGAGAATATTTTCCGCCAAACGAACGGAGCCTTAGTTCTAAACTTATTATACGAATGCTAATTCAGTTATAAACTTTTTAATTTTGTCAATGTAATCTTTTTGGCCAATTGCCTTCGGAAGTTGTTGAGCGATTCACAAGTTGTTTACGTTAGCGTACCACGTAGGATGACCGGTGATGATTGGGTGCCATGTTAATGATTTTCGGTGGTAATTAGTTAGAAGGACTATATTAAAATTTTGGGCAAAGCTTTAGGATTTCATCACGTCGACGATTTCTGGCGGCAATTGGTTAGAAGAACTACATTGGCAAAATTGAAAAATTTAGGACTAAATTGGCATCTGTTCGAAAAGGTTTGTAATTGATAGGGTAATTATCTCCACTCGTGTGATATGTCAATAATCGGGCTTCCTTTTTTAAGGAAAAAAAAGGAGTTCCAAGATTTCTACTAAAGATTGCACGGGGAGAGAGGCAAGATAAAAACAAAATGAGAGTTATCCGACAATCTCTTTCACCAAATTATCACGTTGGTCACATTTCAACCTTACGGCTTTGACAAAATAAGTGGTTTCAATGTCTAAATGCTGCCATTCTTGTCAATTCATTATCATTCAAGAGGTGATTGTTTCTCATTCAAGACCTATTTATACGCACCCGATGATAGAAGAATAAGGGCCCGAAATACATTCACTTAAGAGCTCTGTTAGTTCGTGATTACTGCAAGAAAGGTGCATGCCCACACGGTTAGGTATCGGAATAAGATCTTGCTCTGCTATGCTCAAATGATGTGCTGCTTTTGCATCCATAGCGCTTTCTTTTTGGTTTCTAAAAATGATTTTGAGAGGATTTTACTGGCTGAATATATCGTTTGGCTAGGAAAAGCTTATATACCTCTCGAATGAATTTGAGAGAGATTAGTGGGACTTGCTTGTTGAGCGACATTGACATTTGATTTTATTCATCAAAATCAAAATTTAACCTTTGGTCACCCATTTTCATCGTAACCACTAATTACATGTGGTTATATTGATGATTACTCAATTCAAAAGTGGGGGGTGGGTGGGGGGGGGGTGGGTTTGAGTCTTGTGAATAAAAGTTGAACCAAATTCGCGCAAAGATCGGGTAGTAGGCATGAAACAACACTACAATAAATTCGGTATCGTCTAGAACTCGAATAAAATCCAGCATCAATGACGAACTTCCTTGGGTAATAAATTTTCTAGCCGTTATACACGTTTTATTTGCCTTATTTAGGCTTGTCTCATCATTTCGGTCTATCGACGGCAATATGTCACTACCATCCATAGCTTCAAGTAATTGTCATCTCGGACTTGCCAAATGGGCGCAACTAGGTTAAATCGTGCCCGATGTGCAGCCTATAAATACCTTTGAATGCTCGATTGGGGCTCGCCATCTCAAGTTAAGCAGCCTGTATGGTGGTGGTGAAGCGGTCTAGCGGCGCATCCAGAGCGATGGCAAGAGTAGGAACTAGCATCTGGGTCCGCCATGTTTCATGGATACCTCCCGTGGAACCCGATGCGTGGAAGCTTAACTTCGCTGCCTATTTTATAGATGAAGACATGGTTGCCGGCACCGGCTGTGTTCTTCGAGATCAAAATGCTGTGTTTGTGGCTGCTTGCGCTGGACCGGTGAAGAAGTGTAACAACCCAACTATGGCCCATCTGGTGGCACTAGAACAAGGTCTGAATGTCGCTATGAGGCTCGGAGTCGACTATCTCGAAGTAGAGGGTGAGCACCCGGACGTGATACGAATGATCCAACGTACCCTTATGCCATCAACACCTTCAATGGCAACCCTTCTCGACCGATGCTTCGATTTGTTGGATGGATTTCGCAAAGTGATGGTGAGGCGTATCCATCACCTATCCAATGAGGCTGCAAATGTTCTTGCATCAACAGGGAGGCGACTTGAGGAGCCGGTTCACTGGACTGACGAACCGCCTTCGGATATCGTTACCATTTTGGTCACCGACGTGATCGGGCAATGGGTTCATCGTCGTGATCAGTGACTGGTCTTCGTGCATTAGTGTTAAGTTTAGTGAGAATAAATGTAACTAGGACTGTGTCTGGGAGGGGGGAGGGGAACTTCATTTGTGGATGCAGTAACAATTTCCTTTGTTGTGATAATGTACTGAAAGCTTTGGTGAACAATGTTATCTTCTTTGATTATCATAAGAACTGAGAAAGCATCTGAAGTATGCTTGGATTATATTTTATTCTTGGCGACAGGCTCTAAAATTAAGGTTCGATTTCGCGACCCACGATGGATTGACATCCAATCCTTGTTGAGTCCTCTCGTTTATGTTGTAATGTTCGTGATATTGCCCTATCTTCGCGGCTATATATTGTTGCATAATCTCTCGAATCGAATGCCCGAAATAACAAAATTGCGTACTCTCGGGCTTCATTTACATTGTCTAACTCTTCTTCTTCACTTAAACCACACTTGATTTTTTTCTCATCGACCTTTCTCTTCTTCTAATTTCCCAATAACCATCCAATGCGAGGTATAGTCATCTTGAAAAATACAATGTTTAATATCTCTTGCTAATCTCTTTACATCTTCAGATAAATTGGAGTTCAGGTTATGTATATCTGCATTAGGATTACATATTGCAATGAATTCTTCATCCTCCTTCCTAGTCCTATGCAAGTTTTCGAGCATTCGCTTGCGCCTCGCCCTTTTTCTTCTTTATGTTCATGGCTTCTTTGCTTGGTAAAAATTGAAAAAACAAGCTCTGAAATTTGAACTGCTGAATCGGAAAGTGTGGATATTCTCTATGAAAACAAGAAAAGTTGTTTGATGATGATTGGAACTTGATAGCTGAATATGATTTGATTTCTTAGCAAACATAGAACGGCAATTAGCATCGATCGGTTCTCGCAATATATTATCTAAGTTGCCATCAATTATTTCTTTCCAGTTTAATGAATTATGTAACCCTCTCTTACTTATCATATTAAGTGAATTATCGACTTAAATGAGTCTTTTAAGTCGATACTAATCAAGGTTATCCATCGAGTTTGATATCATTGAAAGTTGAATTTTCAACTTCGACACTCAATTGGGTTATCATACACTCTCAATTTGTATTTCACCAATGACAATGTTAATTAACAATTTTGGCATAAATGAACATGGATAGAGAATTAGATGTTGGATAAAGACTGCAATTAAAGCTAGCTTAATGGGGATCTCGACTGATATTAAATGAAATGCACATATATGATACATACTCAATTAGATTTGTTTACTTAAAAGTGTATGTGCCATTTTGACCACAAAAAAAAAAGAGAGTATGTGCCATTAATTTGTAGCCGGTCATTTGACTAGGTAACTTGCCAATTGCGAACTGGGTAATCCCAAAAAACATTGATTTAATTCATATGTGTTGTAATCTCACCAATTTTGGGAACTCAGTTAATGAAATTTTTTGTTAATACTACTTAGTATTAATTTGAATTAAGTGTACATATCAAGCCAACCCATACATCTTGATATAGAAACTGTTGGAAATATGGGATAAATTGATGGGTGAATGAATGAGAAATTTATGCTCAAAGAACACCCTTGAGTTGGAAGTGGAAAGTGGAAAAACACTAGTCCCACATTGGAAAAGAAAGAAGGCTATGGAGTGCTCATTTGAAGTGGCAACTATCATAGCACAAACACTATGCCTCGCGCGCAGGTGCAAGGGGGGGTGCAAATCCGACGCCCAACAAGCTGAAACTTGGGCGCGAGCGCACATCCCGTGTACACGATTACAGGACCGAAAAGTGGGCCTCACGACGAGCCCAATTTTGCCTTCTGATTTATTTTTTCAACTCAAACTGTTACGAATTTCGTAACATGCGGCAGATTTAATCAGCCATTATTCCTATGCGTATTGATTTTGTAACGGCAGATTTAATCGTTTGTTATTCGTGTTGATTTTATAACGGCAGATTTAATCGTCTGTTATTCGTATTGATTTTGGAACGGCAGATTTAATCAGCCGTTATTGCTCTCCCATTCTATTTTATCGAAATCATTCTTCCTCTGTTTTAATAGTCTTTGCATTTGCACTGTTTTTCGGAAGTGTTCATTTCGAGTTTGTTCAAGTTCGCCGGAAGCTTGGAAGTGCCGTGATCTCTTCTTCGCTGTCAACCGTTGTATCCTGGGAGACAGACGTTCACGAAACCTCAATGGCGTAATGGAGGGAACGAATCTGTTTTAAGGAAACTGTGTCAAACACAGGCCTCGGTATTCATTTGTATCGATTTCAACTTTGTTATTGCAATTTCGTTTCT